AGCCAAATTAATAACTACTTCCTAAAAAAATTAACATAAAACCATAAAACACTGAAGAATTAGGATTATTTTTTTTCAACAAGATAGTTATCCTGCTTTGAAGTAATTTAAGGAAAATTAGTGATTCAACAAAATAAAGTCTCCTTAGTTTAGAGTCCAACGCAAACATGATGCTACATCTGTTTTTTTCAGAACTGACTACTTTTCTTTGTGATTGTAGCCTTAAAAATGTACACTGATCTTGGGTGAATGTGACAATGACTTTGCTTCTTTTTGCTGTAAGATTGTTTGCTGAACTTTCCCCTACTTCTCACAATGTTTTTCTAAACATTGTCAGCAGAGACTTCAGCAAAACAGATCAGGAATTTTCCAATGAAATGTGTGTTCTTTAGGAAATAATGATTCATAGAAACCAGAATATTTTACAGAAATTATCCTGGTTCAACAAAATTTAGCTGACACAGGGCAGAACAGAGAGAAGAGCTAGAGCTGCAGTTCTCAGGCATGTAATTTCTCACTTCTTCCTTGGAGAGTGCCCATTACCTTCTTAGAACCCCTCAAGGAACTTTTCTTTATTACTAAAAAAGCCAGAAGAAACATTTGTATTGTCTAGAAATAGCAGGTTTTCAGGATTTCTTCCGAACTGGAATTTCAAGGTTTCTGTTGTTCACCTCTAGGGAACATCAGAATTGGAGCCAATTAGATCATCTCTAGATTGGTATTTTAAAGCAGAAAAGTCTCATAATCATTTACCAGAATCTGAAGGTCAGCATGTACAGTGTGATTTCAAAATGTTTGCCTGTAGTTGCTTGTTTGAGTATTATATAAGAGCTTGTCCAAAAATGCTAACCCTGCTTTTGTTTCATTTTCTTTTCTTCTTCTTTCTCTCTCTTTTTGGCACCTCAGTTTGTCAGAATAGTATTAATATAAATATAAATATAACCCCAATTCTTCTGACTGTGAGCAAGCCACCACCCTCCTTTGAGGGTGAATACTGTTTAGTATTCAATTTAACACACAAAAATTCCCAGATGACAACCTCTACCATAAACTAGCACAAGGCAATTTATAATGTACATATTTTTAACTGGTAGTTTACACAAAACAGAAAATATTAAAGAGCATATATCTCAATATTCATGCATCAGAAACATTTCTGTTTTGTGTTCAGGATTTTTTTGTTCCTTCTTATTATACCCTGATGTCAGAAAGTACCTATGCTTGTGGTTAAGTGGTTTCAATTATTTCTATGAATCTGATCTTGGAAGTAATATTTTTTTTTCTCATTTATTAATATTGAAAGAATGGTGATTACTGGTAAATATTTTTGCTGTAGCATCCTGCCAAAACAAGGAGTTTACTTTAATTTCTTTTGCTACTAATTTTAAGAATATCACATGACAACAGTGTTGATATAGAAGACAACCTTAGTATATGCTGACATTAGCAATTTAGTGCACTAGAGGAATTTATCTTGCATCTATCTGTATGTGCACACTCAAATATAGACATATCTATAGCTGCTCTTCAAGAGAGACTTTGTTTTACCTGTTAAAAAGCAGTTTTCTTAGGCATAAATGCACAAACTTCAAATTTGAAAATGCATGCCAACTTTAAGTCATGGAAGAAAAAAAATATTTCAGCTTCCTTGACATGCTTTCTCTTAGTTTTCTCTCCAAATTATAGTTTAATTCCAATGCCCTATTGTCTGGAAACTGCAGCTGATGGAGGACTACTGCATAGTTTTAGGGAAGGTACAAGCGGAGAAATCACAGCTTCTCTAGTATTATCCTCTCCTTCCCTCTCCACTAATCCCATGCTTAATTAGTTACACATTATAATTAGTAATTTTAGAATGCTGTTAGATAGATTTTGGATTCAAATAAGGAATTGTTTTGTTGTGTCATCTCGTCTCTTTCTTTTCAGCTTCTAAGTGGGGTCATCAATCTAACTAGTCATCTCACATCTTTCTAAAGCAGCAATTACCATAGTGTCAAGAATGTCAAGAAGCTGTCCTTTTAATGTCTCATGTACATTGGATATTGATGGGTATGAGGGAGATATGAAAACAAGACCACAAATTCTGTCGCATAAAAAGAATGGGGAAGTATGATGACATGCTGTGCAGCTGATTACAATAAGGAAGAACAATAAACTCATCTGGACTTTGGATACTGTCAACTTTTATTTCTTGTCAAATACAAGTTCTGGGAAGGACTAGCTTTCAGATAGTAGTGATATGTTTCACCATATATTCTGCTTAAGTAAAATCAGTTGGATTAGAAGACAAGATCGCTAGGAAATATGTCTGAGAGAACATATTAGTGTGAATAGTGAACTGTGTTAGAAAAAGTAGATGTCATTTCAAAGATTTGCGTATTGCAGAGATCAAATCTTCCTCTCACAGGGACCCTTTCCAGTGTCTACTTCTTTATAGCCAGAATTCAAATTATGTAAGTAGCTCCATGTGTAATGCTTTTGGCATAACGAAGTAGCATGTATTACACTATTAAAAGAACTTACAGGTAGATTTTAGAAAGTAAAAGGAAGGTGATCTGGGTTTTTCAAAGTTGTCACTGAGGCAAAGGATCCATTTAATTGTATGTAATTTCATGAATAAAATGAGAATCATTTAAATAGTTAATGTCTGATTTCTTGGGGGGGAGAGGGGGAGGGCAGGGATATTTATGAAATCTCATAATGGGAATGAATTACAAAATCTGTAGAATTCTGAAGGGATAAATGAAGCAGCTCCTACCTACTTCTAGAGATAATCTTTTGGGAGTGCAATATAAGCAGAGAAAGTTGGATTAATTTTCCTTTTAATTAAGCACAGATAAATTATCAGAATTGTTGCAGACAAGTGTGCATTGCTTCTGTTTCCTATGATTCCATGTATATCCTTATACACTTAAATACATGCTTGCAGTACTTATGTGTCTGTATGTAATGCAGGTCAGTTTTAATGCAAATGCAAATTATGTGATTTTTGAGGTCTTCCTCCCTTACATGGTTATTTCATTTGGAGTTTTTCTCCCTGTTTGAATATCTTTATGGTAATAGTGCAAACACAATAGTGCTTGTTTCTGTTTTACTGTTGTCTTTAGAAGAGCCTGCTTTATAAGTTAAGTTTTTATAGAATTGGCAAGTAGAGCATTACAAACCAGCTATAAGGGATTCATAGAATTCATTTTCAAAACTGGGTTTACAACTTCTAAATTTTATCTTTTTGTTGCCTTAAGGAGTTTTGAGTTCTATGGAGCTGCTTCCTCAGGTAAGAGTCATTATGAATTTATACTGAGTTTTCTGTCCTAAAAGGACAGAAACTTAATTATTGGGGAGAAAAAAATATTTAGAAGATATGTTAGATAAATGTGCAAGTCATAAAATGTGAAATTCAGATAGGGCAAATATGGAGATTCTGTTTGGTTTCAAAGGTTAATTCAAAGACTCAAGTAAAGCAGATGCAGAGAGTGAGAATACAGAGTGAAAGGAACTTCTTTTAAGAGATGAGTTATTTCTTTCCCCAAGGTTTTACTTCAGTGCATTCTTATAATTCCTGGGCTCTGCAAAACTGGCTTGCATTTTTCTTATTCTTTTCATGTCTGAATAAATTCAACTTAAAATAAATTTTATGTAAATGGCAGTTATATTGTGTTAAGTACTATAGACCATCTCTTCAGAGTAAAATCTGTATTCAGGATTCATAGGAACCTGAAGAAGTATGGTGGGACTCTTGGGATACTCATTTGAAAAACAACAGATTTATTTTTGTAAATTACTGCCAAGGCACTGCAGTCAGCCGATGCAGGAGGAAAGCATGAAGATGATACCTTCAATAAAGTCTGGATTTTTCTTTTAAAAGGGAGGAAATACTCTTGTGTGTATTTACTTGTAGTGGGTTAACTTTGGCTAAGAGCCCACTTAGCTGCTTGTTCACTCATTGCCTTCACCAGGAAAGGGGCAGAAATTCTGGTGAAAAAGCTTGTGGGTTGAGATTAAGACAGGGAGATTGCTTACTAGTTACTGTCGTGGGCAAAACAAACTTAACCTGGGGAAACTTAATTGAATTTATTGCCAATTGAAATTGACTCGGCTAAAGAGAAACAAGAATACTAATATTACAATCACACCTTTCCTCCCCCTTTTCCCAGGTTCAACTTCACTTCTTCATTCACAGACTCCTCTACTCCCATCCACCAGCAGTGCAGGGGAAATGGAGGTTGTGGTCAATCTGTAACAATTTCTCTGTGCTGCTTCGTTGTGGCTCTCCGTGGGCCATGATTGCTTCAGAAAATATCCACTTGCTCCCGTGTAGGTCCTCCACAGTCTGCAATGGATGCTGGCTCTGGCATGGTCTTCACACCAAGCTTGGGGAAATATTTGCTCCAGTGTTTGGAGCACCTCCTTCTCTTACTGTGATGTTCCTACTGCTCTTTCCCACGCCTTCCCTCTTCCTCTACCTGTCTCGCATATCTTTCTCTTTCTTAAATGCATTTTCTCAGAGGTGCCACTGTCTTGGCTTTCAGGCTTAGCTTTGTCCTGTGGTGGGTCCACTGGAGCCAGCTAGAACCATCTGTGTCCCGCATGGAGCAGCCCCTGGCGTCTTCTCACTGAGGCCAACCCTGTCGCCACCCTGCTGCCAACTCATCGACACAGACACTCAGTACAATCCTGTCCAGTTCAAATATTTTTGAACGTAGTGAAGGATGCTTGCAGAGTTTCATATACATGTGATACCACTGAAAATACATTGTTGTTAAAATGAGTCTTGTATAAATATGCAAGGTAGGATTTAGTTGACTGTTTTGTAGAGTCAGGTTTTGGCTATTAAAAAATCTGGAATGATGTGATTGGACCATGGATGCTGACTTCTCAGCAAAGCCACTCTTTTAATTAGGTCAGTGGTGTTGAGAGGTATGTAGTCAGTTAACATTCTTATGTGTCTTATCTATGGAATGTGATTGCATATGTTTTTGTTCTGTTTTTCCACAATTTAGATTGCAAGGAGATAATATGGCAGAAAGGCCAGAAGATGTCTCCATGGTATCTCAAACATCTGAGCCAGCAATGTCAGACTCTGATGGTGAGTTATATAAATATTTGGTGCCCATCAAAAAAACTCACCCCACTATCTTGAATTTAAGAGTAAATTTTATGTCTGTAAAAGAAGATTAAACATTTCCAGAGGGTGTTCCTGGGCACATGAACTCAATCATTTACATTTAAATATGTTAGAAGAGTCCATGACATGTTCTTGGCTGTGGCCGATTAGCACCACAAAAGAAGGCATATTTGGGGTCAGTATTCATCCTTAGCAGACAGTTTATATGTTAGCACAGTATTTTGGATGTAACATAGCTTAATAACATAAACATGGGCTGTTCCTTGCCATCTGGCCTCTGTGATGAAGAATGGTCTTCGGAATATTTAATTTAATAGTACAAATGCAGCCACAGGATTCAAATAATATATAGGAAAAATAAATAATTTCTCCTCCACTTTTAAACTAAGTATCAGAAATGCCTCTCTGGTCTCTCAGAGCACCACTGACAATTAAAAATTCAATATAAAGGAGTTTTTACAAAAACTCAAGTACAATTTTTCTCCTTATATCAACATAAGTATATGTAGTGGTAATTTGCAGTCAGGACACAGCCCAATTTCAATTTCTGCTCTGGTTGTTGAACAGAACACCTGAAATCTAATGGAAAAAGCACTTCCTAAGGGCTATCTTGTCAGAGAATGCCCTGCTTTCTTATAAAAGATTAAGTTGATGAAGATTAACTTTATCTTGTCACTGGAAATGGAGACAGAAAGGAATAGATGTTTGGACAGAGATTCTGCAACGATAAATCTTTCAATCAATTCCTGTACTTCTGGGCAGGACCAGCTGAGTCCATTAATTGAAAGATTTGATTTACAGTTTAGTCTTCAGTAGCTGCAGATATGTTAGCCATCTTGATTAATTAATGCAAAACAAATCATAACTTTTTTTTATTATTATTATTTTATTTTTAATTGTCCTACTAAATGTCTGCTATTTAATGCTATTAGGTAAGACATCAACCTGACATTTTGTTCATTTACCACATTTGTAAAGCAACATATGTCAACATTAGTAACTAGTGTGTCTTTAAAGATTAAAGGCTTAATGCAGTTATGCCATTTGTTTTTCCTGTCCTCTGCCACTGATGACTTTATAAATATATATATATATATAGGGAATAAAAATCTCTAAATATTAAGTTCTTACAAGTTAGATGAGGATTATCAACAAGAAAGACAGATTGATGACTGCACCTAAACCCTTTGAAAGGAAAGCAAAATTCTTATTTTATTTGAATAATCCCAAGAAAGGGAAATGGTGCTGGCTTGTTTGGGATAGATTATGGGATATGCAGAATTGAATATGAAACAATTTGTTTTGAACAGGTCTCTGCCTTCCTCTTCCCTTCCTCTGTACCCTTGTTCTTGTAGCAGAATTATACCTAATCTGCCATCACTCCCTGAAACTGTAGGCTCATTTGTATTTACTGGGAGCAGAAAGTCAGTAAAATTTGCCACCTGTTGCTAGGTGGCAAAGGCACCAGGATGAAGGAAGGTGTTCGAAGATGCTGTTAGATACGTCTAACAAAGCAAATGAATGTTTCGTGATTGCATAGTGTGGACCACAGTAGTGCTATAGCCATCTAACTTGGGCCACTTAATATATCTCTGAATACTCTGTAGTCAGTATGGTAATAGTAAAGAGGGAGAACATTTTCCCTTAAAAAAAAGGTAGATGAGGTAACAAGATTCATGTTGTTATAACCACATCTGTTTCATGTCTGTGAATATACATGAACCCATTAGCTATATAGCTAGAAAATAGCATAGCTTCTAGGGCAGAAAGACTGAGGTCAACAGTAAGGTACTACCAAATTTCTGTCAAGAGGCTCTCTCAGAAATGTTCAGCCTTTCAAAGTATATTTTTTCCTAAGATGTTGGCTAGTATTAATTTTTGATAAAACAAACAAAAACAGATCTGTGTTTTGCAAGTAGGCACAGAATACAAACAGGTGCAAAACTCAGGCAGCTGCCCATTCTATCCATCTTTCCTATAAATGCATCACACTACTTGTTTTCTGTGTATTTAATATTTATTTCCAATAAATATTGTGTATGTGAAGAAGATGATAAAAGAGACTTTTAAAGATACTGTTAGAAAACCCTAAATAACCAAAGCATCAAGTTGCACTTTAAATTTTAGTTATGTCTTCTTAAGAATGTATTATATCATTAAAAAAAAAAAATGATTAACAGGTTTTGGTTCCCAAGTTTATTAGAGTTTATTTTCTACTCTTGCTTATCTGTACCAATTACCTCACTGAGAGAAAACTATAAATTTCAAAGTGCTGATGTAAACCATTCTTTCAGGATTATGCAAGCAAGGTGCTAATGTGTAGTAAAGTTGAGGCAGTTTTCCTTGATGGGTTAGTGAGAAATTGTTAAATTGTTTGATCTGGAGCACCTCTCTTGTGGATTTCAGATGAACCAGGTTCAGAAGTAATTGGCTGCACATCTGATCTAACAGCTCTTATAAATAAGCCTTACTAAAGCAATTCCACCTAATAAAGTCAATGCAATAGACTATATAAGAAGATCACCTGCAGCATCAGGCACAATACTGACTCAACTGACAATCTGGACCTGACTCTAATTAACCACTGCACTGATTTCCCTCTAGTGCAATCCTGCTGAATTGAGCAGAGTTGTGTCTGATCTAAGCAGTAAAAATGAGAGACAGGAATCAGGTCTTGAGATTGGACAGCACAAGATGCTCTAACACTGCTTTTTCTTTTTATTGTGTAATGATACCCATCAAAACTGTTTCTCTTTCCCATTGGACCATTTCACAGGAAATAACTAAGGGAAGAATTCAATAGCTAGGCTCCTGATTTTTATTAGTAGAAGCAACTATTGTGACTGCACTGTAAACTTCCTGTGTAGATAACAGTACAAGTCCAGTCTCATGGATCAGTCCTCCAGCAAGTCCTCCTCTTGTTCTATACAGATAGGGCTGAGGTTTTAAAAGATAGACACTGCAACAGGACTGATCTGGTAAAAGTTTGTGTCTGTCAGCCTCTATATTCTTCTCAGTGTGGGGGGAGTGTACAGGTCATATAAAAATGTGTATTTTTTTAAACTTATATAAAGAGACAGTATCAGTAAAAGCATGTGTTCATTTATTCCCAGTTGCCTATAAGTACTGTAGGATCTTGTTTCACTTATTTCAGTCTCTCTTGCTGGCAAGTACAATACCCTTGGAGTAAGAGCCATGATGTGAGGCAGGAAAGAAATTGCAAATAAGATCTTTGCAGTCAGTGCATTCTTGTAGAAGGTTTAAAACACAATACCTCATTAGGGAGTAAACTCTGAATGTCAGATGAATGTAAAGCATAGACCTTTAAACTTTTAAAACTGCCTAGCATATCTGAAAAAAGCTGTTTGCAACCTGAGCTACTTTTCAATGGAGTATGCAACACTACATATGTCTGAGGTGTGGACAAAGACTTGTTTTGTGGCTCTTCCTGGAACAATGTATTTGGACCGAAACTGATGGGTTATATTGTGCTATGCCATGGTATGCATGTATGACATGGTATGCATTTCCTATTCCATTCTGTTATTAGATCTACAGATTGTGCTGTGATACATAATATTTAGTTTGCTAAATAAATTTTGCTAAGCAAATTTCACATCATACTTAATTCCCTATCAAACAAGAGTCACTGGTTTATATTATTTGTAGTTAACCAGCTCACCTTTCCACCTGATACATGCGAAAATACTAGGATATGTCGCTTCAAAGTTTGTCTTTCCTTTAAAGTGACAATAAAATTTAAAGTTCAAAACAGGCATTTGGATGTGGGGGAAAGTTTGAAATTAGGGATGTTCAATAGAAATAGGATTGTAATTAACACATACAGTTCTATTCCAGAATGAACTGCATGACTAAGGTAAAAAATTAAAAAGGATGAAAGTATTTGGGAATTAGGGTTGTGAACCAGATACAGCAGTGGCAAAAATGTGGCATCATCTCTAAAATCCTGAACAGTTCTCTGACCACTTCTCAACACTGCATCATTATCACCTCTTCTTCCTCCACTTTCATTTGGTTACCACATTCATTGCAAATTATACTTATAAAAACTGAACTGTACTGAAATACAGCAGTATTGCAAATGCAATGAATGTGGTAACCACAGTTGCTGTATTTCAGCACAGTTCAGTTTTTATAAGAAGTATAATCTGAGATGTTTGACAAATTAGGGCACTTTAGAAACATAAGAACCTCCCTGCTAAGTGTCCTTTGAATAACAGCAGAACTTAGAGAAGGGCATCTTGGTTTTTAGATGGTTTATGAACAGCATCAATTTGCCTACTGGACTGACAAGCAAACAGTGAAACTGCATAGCATGTTACTTGGAAATTGCTTTCTCTGACATAGGTAGGGGAGGTTCAGGCTGGATATTAGGAAAAGGTTCTTCACCAAGAGGGAGCTGGGGCACTGGAACAGGCTACCTGGGGCAGTGGTTATGGCACCGAGCCTGCCAAAGTTCAAGAAGTGTTTGGACAATGCTCTCAGACACATAGTCTAGTTTTTGTGTGGTCCTGTGTGAAGCCAAAGTTGGACTCAATGATCCTTGTGGGTTCCTTCCAACTCAGGATATTCTATGATTCTAGCTACATGTAAATAAACAGCCTTTTAACTCATTACATATGTGACAGACAAAAAACAAAACAAAACAAAAAATTCGAGATTGCTCAGCAAATTTTGTTTTTTTACAAATGTGACATTATGGGTAAAAATTATAGCCTGCATAGCCTTAAATGTTGCCTAAAATGACTGAAACTTCTTATTTCAAATATATTTAACTATATCCTAACTTGTTTAATTGAATCAATTACATTTGCTTTAATAGAGTTTATTAAAACTGAGGATCCACTACTCCATTGTGCAAAGGACAAACAGTTTTTAGTTTTAATAGAAATATAATAACCTACAAAACATGTGGCAGCAGAAGGAAGTTTGCTTGTCACTCTGTTCATGTTAGAGATACAGTTTCTCATTTAATTAAGCTTATAAATTAAAATTAGCCATAAATTAAATTCCAATGAAGTGTTAACTGAAAAGTAGTACTTGTATGGTAGCTACATTTGCCTTCCCAGCAGTTAATGTATACATATTTTATTTTCAAAGTGACTAACAGTTAATTATTTAGTGTGATTTATGTTTCTTCTACCTCTGTGGAACAGCTCAAGTACCTGGGGTTGAAACACTTACGGAAGATATTGATGAATTTGAGAGTGCCTCTCAAGTGGCAGGATCTGTAAGTATCTTCCCTTATGGGAAATCCTGTAAGTTTTAAGAATAGTTTGGTAAAAATTAGACTGTATGTAAAGATTAAAGTTTTGCTTGCCAGCAGTTTTTTTTTGTTTTGTTTTGTTTTGTTTTGTTTTGTTTTGTTTTGTTTTGTTTTGTTTTTTCATTCCAGGAACGGTGATATTTAGAAATCTATTATTATCATTTCATGGGAACACATACTTTATTGGCCTAACTTATATAGCTTCCATTGAAAGCTCAGTCATTATAAACTATGTCTGTACATCCTTAAATATTTCTTTAATGGTTAAATATCCATTTTAAGAGTTTTATAATATACAATATTACAAAATGGACAGAAAAACATCATTTAAATTTTAAATTTTATTATGAAATTTGATATAACATCTCAACTATAATTCAGCTTTTCAGTAATGTTTACTTGGAAACTGATAAAGAAGATATGTCTATTTGAACTGTGTTTTTTTTTTTTTTTTTTAAATAATGCAGTATTATGTGTGGTGATATTTTCATCAGTTCTCTTATCTTAAAATTTAACAATTTTTGAAAATTTATATAATAAGAACTTTAGAGCTAGTTGTATTGCATCAGAAATTTGAATACAAGTTAAAGAAGGGCTTGCTTTTTTTTTTTTTTTTCCTCAGGCAAATTATTTGAAAAGACAGTAGTTATTTGTTTTTACAGACTTTAAGACAGATGTAAGAGGAAACATTAATTTCTGTCCACTCATAGCAATCCTGTTTTTAGCACACTTTAATATTGGTAAGATGAGTGAGTATTTTTTGGCAAAGTTTTTGTTAAGTATTTGTTGGGCAGTATTAAAGAAAAAAGGAAAATGACAATGCAGACTGATCCTGCAGTCTTTCAGGCAGCTAACTGCTAGTAAAGCTAAAAATACTAAACAATCAAAAATTTATAATACACTTAGTATGTTATCAAAGCAGTTGGCAGACAGAGAGTTCCTGTTTAATTCCTAAAGATCTTTGAGAACATGGACTGCCAGAAGCTCACAGAGCATTTGTGGATATTGGGCAAAGGGAATGAGGAGCAGAACTTCAGTAGCCATTGCTTTCAGCTTCTCACTCAAGCCTCATTTCTACTTCTCTTCACAGTAGTGAACAGAGAGGTGTAATAAATTTTGCAGCACTTTCTTATGTTTTTTACACGATTTTCTTATCGGTTTGGACCCATGGCTACCAGCTTTGATTTTTCAGTTCCACAGACATGTGCATAGGAAAAAAGGAACAGATAAATTGAATCACATGGAAAAATAAAAATAATAAGGAAAATAAAATATCATTATATTTCTTAGCAAAATCTTGCTATGTGTACACGTTTATAAACAGACATATAATGTGTACATCTATCATTTAATGCTTGTTCTAGGCATAGGTACTTGTATTGGGCTCCCCAATAGAAGAGGGACATAGAACTACCAGAGCAAGACCAGAGGAGGGCTACTAAAATGATTAGAGGACTGAACACCTGTCATACGAGGACAGGCTGAGAGATCTGGGCCTTGAAAAGAGAAGGCTGAGGGGAGGCATCATCAGTGTGTATAAATATCTGAGGGGAGGGTATCAAGAGGATGGAGCTGGTCTCTTATTTTCAGTTGTGCCCAGAAACAGAATCAGAGGCAACGGGCACAAACTGAAACACAGGAGGTTCTGGATGAATATGAGGGGGCAGTTCTGTACTGTGAGGGTGACAGAGCATTGGAACAGGTTGCCCAGAGAGGTTGTGGAGTCTCCTTCTCTGGAGATATTCAAAATCTGCATGGATGCCATCCTGTGCAACATGCTCTAGGTGATCCTGCTTGGCAGGGGGGTTGGACTAGGTCATCTTCAGATGTCCCTTCCAACCTCGGCCATTCTGTGATAAAGTTGCCTAAAACAGTAGATTGCCAGAGGCGGTGAAGTTGACTGGACTAAATCCCTGAAACCCACTAACGTGACTGCTGTTACTGCCTCTGCTGCAAAAAGAAGTCAAGACCAGAAGTTGCAGCTATTGCTCTGCCAACCCAACCTCTTCCTGAGGGCAAGGGCAACTAGCTTCCCTTTCCTGAGCTCTTGGAAAAAAAACACTGGATGTTTGCCTGTATCTAAATCTTCTCAAAAAAATAAAAAAATAAAAAAAATAAAATCCAACTGCTGTTGCATTTTAATGCTTTGAAGTAATATTTTGTTCTGTGGTCCCTTAATAACTTCCAGTGAGACTTATTCTGTGACAATCTTCACATACAAAATATAGAGATTGAACTGAGGTTCCCCTTAGGGAAACTATGAAGATTGCATTCATGCAATGAATTCTCACAAATTCTTTAAAAGAATAAGAATTACGCCTGAAGAGCGCCTCAGAATTAATACCAAAATACATTTTTATGACTATACTTGATTTTCAGATATTATATGAGATATGAGTTACAAGATAAGGAAGAAGTAGAATAAATATGATGTTGATCAGACACTTCTCATATATTGAACAAATTGGTTCATGACATTCACTCAAATGTGCATATTACCTCTAAAAATTCCTGATCTAGGTGACGATATTCCATATTTAATACTGGTACTGTGTCCCACTAGGGTAATATGAGTCTGTTACTAGTTAAACTGGTCATTATCATAAATTTCTCTCTACTCATGTATACTTGACTAATCTTTAAATGTGCCTTGACCTTCAGAGAAGTGTTTTGAGAAAAATTGTGGGACAAAGCTGCAAGAATTATGGAAGAGTATTTTTAGAAAGTCTTCAGAAAAAAGCTATACAGGTTATATTTTTCATGTTCAGTATACAAGTCCATACATAAGATCATGTGGAGGCTAATGCAGCCTGGATGCCAATAATATGAAGAGACATGCAACATCTATGCCTATAACATTGCTCAGTGTAATTTATACTATGATTACATTATGATGTTGTTGTAACGTATATTTTTGGTATTACATGTCTGGAAAGACTGGAAATTTTTGTAATTAGACCTTTTCCCTTTAGTCTTTTTAACAGAATCTTTTGCTAAGGTTTATTTTTCTCAAAGAGAGTTGATATTTGAAAATCAGTTTGAAGTATTTACAGGAATCAGCACTCTTCCTAAGGGTTTTGCAAGGACTCAAAGTGGAAGCAAGCATTCAGAATGTCCTTAGAGATTGTGGTTTACTGAAGGACTCTTTTATTTTTTTTTTCTTGACAAATATTTAGTTTAATAAAAAGTATTAGGCAAGATGCAAAGTTTTTTTTTTTTTTTTTTTTTTTTTTTTTTTTTTTTTTTTCTACTTTATATTTGTATAAACAAGTTTTATAAATATTTGGCTAGAAATCTTCCAGAAAACACTGAACGGAAACACTAGCGAAAAGTTTGGTTGGCTGGAATTCTGACAGTAATGGAAAAGTAAGGTATCTGGGGAATCAACCAAATTTACAGTAACTAACAGAAAGAATCAGGGCAGATGCAGTGGGCAATTCACACCGAGTAGCCTTTGCCTTCACTCTGAGTTGCTTCTTTTGCCAACTGAATGTAACAGGACTCATACTTACTGTTTTTATTCATGTGAATCTTTGCATTCACTCATCTTTCCTGTCATATACACATGAAAAGGTGTATTTTTCTTTGCAAATTATCCATGTAAAGCAAACCAATCCAAGTATAACAGAAAGAAGGTTGTAGGGTAGGGGGAAGAAAAGATGTTCAACTGCAAAAGGCATTTTTACATGAGAATGCCTTGGGTTTTTGCTCTTTATTACTGTGGGAAAAAACACTCTAATAAATTGTTTTATAGAGGTGTTCTGATTTAAATATATTCTGTCTTGTTTTCTCTACTCCTTTGGAACTTCTCTGTTGCTTTCCCAGATGGAATATACACAGGATTTTCTATGATAAATACAGAAATTCCTTAATTGGGAATTCAGTTTGTGAAATGATTTGAGGCTTCACACACAAAGAAAAAATAAACTTTTAATTCATGGTATTAGTTGAATACAGCTATATTCCAGTGATGTGTAATTTTAATTTCACTATAACCAACAATTTTAGATCACCTAAGCTTCTGTATTTAACTAAATGTCATTTGCTGGATTGGGGTCACTGTTTAGCAATTAGAAGGTAAGCCATTAAAATAAGTATTTTAAGGTTCCTATGACATCTGGCACAACAGCAGTGTGATTCTGAGGTAGCATGAATTATAAAGGTCTTATTTATATATTACATATCCAGAATTAGTATTTTCTTTTCTTTTCTTTTCTTTCTTTTCTTTTCTTTTCTTTTCTTTTCTTTCTTTTCTTTTCTTTTCTTTTCTTTTCTTTTCTTTCTTTTCTTTTCTTTTCTTTTCTTTCTTTTCTTTTCTTTTCTTTCTTTTCTTTTTCTTTTCTTTTCTTTTCTTTTCTTTTCTTTTCTTTTCTTTTCTTTTCTTTCTTTTCTTTTCTTTTCTTTTCTTTTCTTTTCTTTTCTTTTCTTTTCTTTTCTCTTTTCTTTTCTCTTTTCTTTTCTTTTCTTTCTTTTCTTTTCTTTTCTTTTCTTTTCTTTTCTTTTTTCTTTTCTTTTCTTTTCTTTTCTTTTCTTTTCTTTTCTTTTCTTTTCTTTTCTTTTCTTTTCTTTTCTTTTCTTTTCTTTTCTTTTCTTTTCTTTTCTTTCTTTTCTTTTCTTTTCTTTCTTTTCTTTTCTTTTCTTTTCTTTCTTTCTTTTCTTTTCTTTTCTTTTCTTTTCTTTTTCAAATCCAAATTCACTTTTGTAAGTATGTGGAAATTCAGCATATTTAAAATTAAATGCCTTGAAATTTTTTGGTCTAGAAATCGATATGAAACAAGTTTCATAAAACAGATATGGCATCTTGAGTGCACAGTTGCAAAGCAATAATTTCTTACTTAAAATATTCTCTTTTGCTTTGGAAAGCACCTAAAGTGCTTTCTCACTTCTTACCTCCTCGTATTCTATTTGCTGACATCATTTTGGTTATTGCAAAACCTAGCTGCCCAGGTACTGGCCCAATCCTT